AGAGCGTGTGGGTGTGGGAATGCAGTGGGTGCTGCCTGCCGAGCGTGTCTCAGTGTGTCACGCAGGGTATGCATTTGTTGGGTAGGGCTTCTAGAAAGTCTCTTATTTTACCCTGCCAAATAATTACAAGGGCCTGCAGTGGTTATGACTTCAGCAAATAACTAAAAGGAAAAAAAAAAGAAGCAGAGAGAGATCTGGTAGTTCCCCATTCAGAATAACTTAATGTGATCCGACTCAAAGCTGGAAGCCCTGAACGTGTGGTCCTGCTGATGGGTGGCTGTAGCAGAGGGAGCGGACTCTGAATCTTGCTGCTAACCCTGCTGGCAGACCGGCTGCCTCTGACTCCTTGTTGACACAGAGCTTTCGGAAAGCATCCCTCTCTCCCTCCCCTCTGTCCTCCGCCCGCAGCACGCTCACAAGGTATCATAGAATTGTTTGGAAAAGATCTTTAAGATCATCAAGTCCAACTGTTAACATCACGTTGGTCTTCACCAGATACTTACTATAGATGCCTGGGGCTTCCTCCCTGTCCTTCTTCTGCAGGTATATGTGGTACCCTGTGATGCAGCCCATTTGCTGATGGGCAGGGATTTCTTCCCATGAAACCAAGATGCCGTTTGCCCGTGGTGTTGCATACATCTGGGGCCCGGTCAATGGTGCTGCAGAACATGAGATTGACTTTCAAAGCTGAACTTAAACTGGCTTACAGATACCTGGAAGAATATTACTGTGTCTTACCTTTTGCTCTTGAGTATCCCCTAACTGATGCCACTTGTCCAGCTCTGGCCTGATAGAGTGCAAATACGCTGATCTGATAGCACATGTTATCTTCTATGTGCTCTAAATAAAGAAATTAAGAGCAGAGAGTTACTAGTTGAAGTGTCTATGGTCCTGGCTAAAGTGTTTACATTAGCTGCTTAAATCTGAGATTAATCTTCTGATTTATTAACACATCTTTCACAAAGAAGGAACAAAAAGCTTCTCTGTGATCTCCTGTTCAGCTTGGCAGGACCTTACTGTGTGTTAAGCAAGCGATGTTAGCACTTGGAAGGGTGAAATCCTTTGTTTCCTCACGAAGCAGCAGCTCCGGGGCAGACTTGCACCCTCCAAAGGAAACCCGGGATTGTGTTTTGTGCTCCAGGTAAAGGGAGGAGGTGAAGACCTGCTACCCAGCTTCTTGCTTGAAGATACCAGGTGCAAGGTTTGGCTATGCACAAGGTCGCTCAGGAGGCACGAGAATCTCGCACCCTATTTCTTCCCCATGACTTCATGTGAGAGTGCTCCTCTGGGATGTGCCGGTGGGTTAGGGGAGGACAACAGGAACTCGTTTCTCTCCTCTCCTGAGCAGAGCACAAAGTGATGGTGTGAATACGCTGCTTTGTCCAGCTCGTTCGAGAGTGGGGATGTAAACACCGCAGAGGCACAGCACCAGCGCAGAGGACAGGAGAGACGAAAGGAGGGTAACGCTCACAGAATCAGAAGGGTTGGAAGGGACCTCGGGAGATCATCCAGTCCCCCCCCCGCTACAGCAGGTTCACCTAGACCAGGTTGCACAGGACATCATCCAGGCGGGCTTTGAATATCTCCAGAGAAGGAGACTCCACAACCCCCCTGGGCAGCCTGTTCCAGTGCTCAAAGTCTCCCTCCAGTTGAGTCACCCTCAAAGTAAAGAAGTTCTTCCTCATATTCAACTGAAACCTCTTGTGCTTCAGTTTGTGCCCATTACCCCTTGTCCTGTCACTGGGCACCCCTGAGAAGAGTCTGGCTCCGTCCTTGTGACATCCACCCTTAAAATACTTGTATTTATGAGATCCCCCTCAATCTTCTCTTCTTCAGGCTAAACAAGCCCAGCTCCCTCGGCCTTTCCTCACAGGGGAGGTGCTCCATCATCTATCATCTTTGTAGCCCTCTTCTGGACTCGCTCGCTGTCACCCCCAACGAAACTTCATAACTACCTGATGTGCAGAACGCTGACGCGTAGTGTGAGTTGGGATTAGTAACCAACAATTAGTAGAAAGGAAATAGTCTTTTCTTAAGCCTTTGATCTCTTGTACCTCCAGCTGGCTTGTTTCATTTCAGAGGGACTGGGTTTTTTTAAGAGACATTTCACTTATAAATCTTAGCTGAGAGTGACAGTGGAACTGAGCCCAGTGCAGCCACAGATGATCTCTCTTTTTTT